AATATTAGAGGAATATTAGTTATCTCAGAAAATATGTAACAAAGTTATGCATTGCACACGTCGTAACAAAATTGTTGATAAAATGGCGCGCCGAACGGAATAATTACTGTGCTATTTACAAATAACATCGATATTGGTGTTGATTATTTTTACTTTCTGCGATGTTTCCTATTGGACACGCGTCGCGAATCGCATAAAAGCGTCAAAGCGTTTGCATTCGCCAGGCCTGAATCACAAATTAATCATTAAACACAACAGTTAAACAATACCTAATTACAATCACGCATTCGAGATTATGTCAGTGTTTATGAGTGTCATGCCGGCCCATAAAATTGATTAAACAAGCGCGATTGTTTCTTTTTTCCCTTTAGTTGTTTTAATAATGTGTTAAGTAGAAAAAATCAATATGTACAACGTTTACCAGATATTTGTTGATCCAATCAACCTAAATTAGTGAAAGTTAAGCGCTCGTGTAACAAGGATTACATAAAACGCAGGATTATGCACGAAGATCAACAAGCAATCATTGATTTTTCTTTACTACACTGTAGCGCGTCTTTTTTACGCCTTGCAGCCGGTCGCTTGCATTAATAACGATCGCGACTGCAACTGCGACTGGTAATTCTCGTCTATTCCCTTCTAATTCGTTCCAATGAAAATGCACGGCAAGATTGAGTGGACAAATGAAGATATATGCCGCGTGTCATCCGTCCTATCATCTATTCTATATGTCTATTAAAGCAGCTCATGCTTTTATTCGATATCAATAGTAAATGCGCCGCTAGTATTAAATGCAAGGCAACATAAAATGCTAATGTAACATTTAATCATTAAAATGCATTTTTATTGCTTGTCTGCCACTGCAGTGGTTTATTTTTGTTTAATGCAATAATATATTGTGTATATTTAATTTTGGACGAAGTAAAAATCAAGCTAGCGCGCACGCACGCGGCGACAAATCATGAAACAATAAAATTTTGCCCACTGAGAAGTGTCACCATGTCACGGCAATAAAATTATGCGTAACCCCGAACAAAAACGGCGCGCGCGATATTTACGATCGTGTTTGGATTTTCTCCATTTGTTCTCGTTCATTTGTTTACGCTTACAGCCACTTGCTTCGCGCTTTCATCTTCAATCATGTTATCATTTATTTATTACGCGATTATTTTTTTCTTACCAATACACACAGGAATAACACACGCTAGCGATGCGTCGATGATGCATTTGGCGTTTTATGCGTCGGGTGAATAACGATAAAACCGTCGCGGCGATATGAGCGCCGCATTATATTATTATTCAGTAAGTGTAATAATTTAGTGTTTTAAATAATTTTATGAGCCACACTCAAACTCACACACAAGCACTTCTTACGGCCGCCGTGTTTACAAATGGCCCGAGACATGCACATTGCACACAGATGATGTGAGTTGTGTGTGCATTTATTTATGCGCGATGGGCAGCGGCCGCAATGGTCAACACTCCGCATGCGGCGAGGAGCGAGTTTGCCTTTTGCGAGTCCCTCAAAGTTTATAGGACGTCTGCGTAATAATTCTGAATTTAGACATGACATATATCGTGGCCGTGCGTTGTCTGCGCGCACGCCGCACTCGAATGCCATAATAATCGTTTTTAATTAATGCGAGATTTATTATCGAAGAATAAGAGACGCGCACACAACTACCACTGTACATAAAACGCCAAACTGCGACTTCACCTTGGTGCGCCTCCTCAGTGTCTTCGACATATTTTCAGTTGGACAAACTTTCTTTTTGGCGCGGTGTTTTCTATGTTTTGCAGTTCGTGCCGCTGGTGCTTTTAGTGCGAGCTGCGAACAGAGTCGTGTCGGTGTGGAATGGCGAGGGAGGATGTGCATGCAGCTTGTCCCTATTCCGACATAAATCACTCAGGCCGCTGTCCGCAGCGCTGACTGCTGAAGATTTGCGACTAAGCAAATGTCATGGGGTCAGCAAAAAATCTATCCTTAACGCGAAGGCAAAAGCAAAACCAGCCGACAACGTCGACAACAGCGTTCGCGCACACAGACACATCTCTCACACGCGCATACAAACGCAAACCGAGCGTTTATATCGCGCAGGGGCAGAGTGGCATTATGCCTTTTGCGAATTTGCGAGCATGGACGAAAACAGCTTTTACCGACTTGTGCGCTCTTCGCCTTCTTGCGGGCTTCATGTATGTTTGTTACATGTTGTATAATTTATGTTAGCACAACACGAAACGTAAATACGCGAATTTATTGCGTTTATTATCACATATTATGTATTACTTACGGGAAAGTCGCTGTTCGACTAGAAAAACCTATGAAAACAAGCCAGTGAAAACAACGGGCCATAAACACACGGCAATATAGCAGATTAGTGAGTGAGATTTTAAATATTTGATTAGTTTTTGAGTCATTTCGAAACGAAAGCGCTTTTAATTTAATGCTAATCGATCGAAATAGGCGAATGAAGTAGCCTAAAATGGCAATTAGTTGGTTTTATCTACCACGTTCACGTAACACAGCGTAATGATTTGATTTATGCATCCTGAACGAGTCGGACTTTTGCCTTGATTAAAAGATTATAATTAATGGCGCAAAGAAACGGGTATTGTTTGATTTATACACGCAAACGGGGACGGCCTTTCCGTGTAATGCCGGCCGCGCAACTGTTTTCAGTTTTCACTCATTCGGTAATTTTAAATCAACATGTGCGCGACGCACATTTACATAATTTATTGCGCTCGAAATAAATTGGGTCGTTCAATCATTTATTCACATTTCGATCGACGTAATTTTCATCTTTTTTCGGTGCGTGCCCCAGAGCCGTCCAAATTTAAAATTTTAACGTATCGCATTCCGTTCACAAAACTATTCGAACAGGAAAACAAAACAAAATAGCACCGACAGCCAGATTGTTGATTGATGAGTGAATTGAAATTTGTTTGGAAAACTAGCCGTCTGTCCGTTCGTGTTTCGACCTTGATCGCGGCATAATTTACGACCGATAGATTGCGATGTATTAAATATCAAACAATAAATTACGAAATTATTGGCTGTGTGTTTCCTTCTTTTAGTTAATTTATTTATCAAGCCAAGCGGTATTCAAATTCGAGAAATCGCTGCCATAGCGTGCACATTATTGAATCATTGTGAATGAATCCAAGTTTCGCCAAGAACTTAGCAACAAATAATTACGTATTCGACGCCGAGAACACGCTGCCGCCGACGACGACGATGATGATGGGAAGGAATGGGAAGCGAAACATGATGAATTGCCCATCAGAAACGTAAAGACAAATAAATCATTGCACGCCTCTTATTCCATCTGTCTCCCAGTCGTGTATTCTTTGGTCGTTTGCTTTCGACTTGTACACGACTGACCACATGTTTCAGAATCCTGAATCTCTAACAATGCATCCAAAACAATCAAAATTTGAAGCGCAGACATCACTTTAGTCGCGACGAATTAGTCTGATGATTCGTCGTGTAATAGATACTATTACGTACGTCGTTTGAAAGGCAATATATAATTAGATATGTGTTTCAAATCATAAATCATTAATTTTATAAGGTCATCGAGTAATCAAGTGTTCGGGCGTAGCTGACGAGCAATGTGTTCCTTTGCTCACATTACAAGCATTTTGTTTATTCCTTTTCTCCAAGAATCAAGAATATTAGTCATATTAAAATAAATTGTAAACAATTTGCAAAACGCAAGTTTCTAACCTAACTATTTCTATTCATTATGTGTTTTATTGTAACAGTCTAACACAATTATTTCTTTGTTACAGGTAAGTTCCTTCTCTACACTCATAAATCCTCCCCGGGTGCGATTTTTGACGTTGAATTCCGAAACCAGCAAATTTGTGAGTATTTGCGCAAAAGTAACTTGGTATACACACCGCAAGAGAAAGAGCACACCACGTTTCAACTTTGAAGCTGCGGAGCTTCGTGCCCGCACACAAACGAAGGGCTTTTTAAATATCAATGAAAAACGTCCCTTCTTCACGCCACATCACAATGACTGACAGCAATCGAGATTTATTGCTCGTTTACTTTGCTAATAATTCATTTTCCGGTGCGGGGCGGGCGATCGAAGAGAAAACTTTTCTGACACAAATAGAACAATGATTTTTCTTCATGCTCCAGAGCGGCGTTTCTCGGTAATGCTCTTTTACAAATGTTACCATGAACGCATACACTATTAGCACCTCGCACGATAAAAATCTAGCTTCATTAAAATAGTCTGCTAATTCTATAAAATCATGTGACAAGTATCTCCGCAGTGGCTTAGGAATAGGTATTTTTAGCCCAGTGTCGGTATGATTTATATCAAAATGTTGATTTTGGCACCGAAATTTATTTCGAAACGTATCAACAAAACGCACATCATTAAATTTATCGCCCGTGTCGCGAGGTTTCGCGTAATGGTTAAAAATTATATTGTCCCGAATGTGTCGCGACTGCAGGAGGCAGTCGCTCATCGGGCCGGGTACGGCGCATAAATAATTGCGAAATCGCACTATTTTTACCCTCGATTTAGCTTATTAACGGTACACAATTTCTTGTCGCCACATCAAACGGACCCGTGTGTCGGGGCTTATATAAATCGACGCACGACGTACAACGCACCCGTGAGTTATGCGCACGCTGCATGTCGTGCGTAATGCAAATAAAATTTGCCTGATTGATGAAACTGTCTTTTGTGGCACGCCGGCCGGCGTGTTGTGCGTTATGCCTACACAAAAAGATGCCAAGCCAGACGTTTGTCGTAATGAAGTTAGAAGATCAAGCGGCGGTACACGCTCGCACGGTGGTTCGGTAATAAATAACGCAATAACGTAAAAATCTACGCACATAAAGCACCATCGCGAGCGGGCGAAACATTGCACAGCCAGAAAGAGAGAGAGAGAAATTTAATAAACCCGCATCTGCTCAGTGCGCCAACAAATTAACATTGACATTTTTACCATTTCCATGAAGTATAAACACTTACATTTGATGATTGACTGTGTTGTTAGCGTGATGCCATCTGCAAACAAAAAAAGAAATACATATTAAGACGTGTAATATAATTTAAACTAAAGTGCACATTTAAATAATTCGTTTTTTCGTATGTATTAGTGCAGATATGCGTATGTGAGTGAAATTTAAAACTGTGTTTGGTATGCGCCGCAATTGCAGCTATGCAGTTGGTGACTATCAAAAAGATCGCATGATGAATGTGTAGCCATTGTTGGCGATGCCCTCAGAGGACGCAATGCCCGATACCCCTTTCCACGGGAGCCAAAAACCCAAAAGAGACGACGGGCACAATATCAATCCATAAATCAACACCCGATACGTGCAATAGATGTAGGCATAGATAAATCTATTGCGATGCCTTTTCGTACGCATTTAATGATCAATAAATCAATACATCACCGGCCGATTGTATTGTGCATCTTTGCGATACATTTGCACCATTTGCTCATAAGCCCGGGTTTAATATTTGTGCACAAACCGATAAAATTGGTTTCATTTCAGCTTACTTCTTATTTAAGTTTTACACGAATAGCAGATGTTTATGTTTGATCTCTATCATCAAAATTTTGAGTTGCAGAGGGAACAATGCAATACAAATTTTCATTTCGGTTTTTCTATCCAATTTTTCTGATTATTGCACCTGATCTCTCTCATCTCGCGTTAGCATTCGTAGAGTTCGCTTGAGTGGCACGTTTGGAGGCCAAATTTTCAATTTACAAAGGACCGTTTGATCTAGCGTAATCACTAATTAAACATGTCACTCTTAACAATTAAGCAAAACAATCCACGAGCACGAGGTGGCGTGATGTTTGTTGGTGTGTTGCGTGCGGTTGGAAGGAAGCGTTGTGTGTGCGCGCGAGTGTGCGAAAAGAGGGGATGCGAATGAATCAAAGGCTCGTCGGGGAATCGCTGAGGCGGCGGCATCCGCCAAGCGAGGGCTGCCAACTATTTCACCCGCCGACACCGCCGCGAATTAATAATATAATATCTGCGGAATGGCGGCGTGTGTTAAGTGGCTTGAGGCCTTCATCAAACAGAATCGCTCCTGGTGCTCTCTGGCTAATCACCGATTGCCTTCGCAGGCTTTCAACGCTTCAATTGATCATCCACTTGTATTTCAATACTAGAACAATAACTTTCTTCAGTTTATTTATTATTTAAACACTCTGTATTCACGTGTGTCTATCAAAGGTTTATGGTAAACCCAAGCTATTTATTAATGACGTGCTCAAAAATAACAGATTTGCCCCGAGGGTGCGTACGCGAGTCCTTTGAGCGTTTACCAAACAGTACAATGCTTCAATCGCATATCCTGCTGAACTGCGAACAGAGGCACGTGATCTCTTTAATATTACGTGACAGAAACGCAACACACCAAATTACATCTAGCGATTATAAACAAGAAAAAGACCTGCGAAACCCCACGATTAAATTTCGATTAAAATTATTCTTCGCCGCATCAAAAGACAGCGCACGCCGTTTAATTTCAGCGTTTGAGGATATGATGCGTTTTCGTAACCGAAACCGGCGATGTCACACGCACACACTCCCTTGTTATAACTCCTCAGTTGAGAGTCTACCTTTGATGCTTGCTTTCAAGCATTTTTATTAATCTTTAATACTTTATTAACGCCGAATCCCGAACGGTATAAAAGTCATGTTTGAGCGGTCGAGTAAAGTGCATAATTTACGATTGAGCTTTTCGATGCGATGCATCGCGGTGATGTTAATCCAAGCTAATTATAAACTTCAATAAATAACGATTTTGTTTTCTCGGGCGTTACGCGTGTGCGGCGCGCGTAGAACTTCGACGAGTTCACGCTTTCTTTGCTGCTTGCTGCCGTTGTCGAGGAAGCGCTTAGTATCAACATTTCGGGAAAAAGAGACGCAGGAAACATAAATCCACTCGGCGTCAATTACTTAAGGCGCTTTTCCGACAACCGCGAACGCACATCAATCCGACTTATTTATAATAACGACGAATGCGAGTGCGTGCGCACACCGCATCATATCAAACTCGATATATGACCAACGCGTCAAAAGCTGCAAACCTGCAGGAATATTTAACCATTACACCGGCTTCTACTTAAAATGCCGCGCTTATGATGGATTACGTTTGCAATCTTGATCGGTCGTGGCTGCATTATGACTCGTTACGGAATAACCGAGCTGTAGCAGTTGTATTAAATGTTGGCGAGTCAATCTATAAATGTTACAGCGTGTTAGTGTTACGTGTATAAACTCGGAAGCTCAAAAACTCGCAAATCGCGACGGTGAGATGACGCGATGCAAAAATGTCAAGCTGGTGTGAGCGCAAGTTGCAACTATTCGCGGCTGCCATTCACTCACGACGACGCGAATTCGATCGCCAGCAACCAACCAACTGGCGCGAGCATTCGGCCCAGTTTGCAGCACATTTATAAATGTATCAATCATAATATTTACAATTAAAATTTTCGCAAAATTCACTCGCCAACACCGTTTTTCAATCAATGTCAATCGGATTTACGTACGTCACTGCTATTCGAACTGTTTCTACAGGTTTACGTCTAGTCATCACTGACGTTCAGCAAATTTCGACAATGTTTGCGTGATATGTTGGAAATAAAATTTACAGAATTTACTCAAACAAATCACCACGCAAACACACCGCCTACGCTTAGAGTTGTGTGTACAATTTTAGAACATTTAATATTTTAATTAACCGCGAATATTTTATGTTCAATTGCTGCAGCTTTTGCGTTCGCGCACGCTGAAAATTACGCATGAAAACCATTTTATTATTTGCCTGAATGGAAACGTTTTTTATTACCACACACGTGTTTGGCCAGCCAACCAACAGGGTCAGGTAACGTTTGAATTTTTTCATGGTTGGCTTCAATTTTATAGCGAAATAATTGAATTAAATTAAATATAAATTAAATTAGATTAAAAATAAAGCATGCTCGTATCATTGATCCTAAAAAAGCACGGCGTACGGTGGTTCCGACTGTTGTTTTGCATTCGGATTTTCGCATGCGAATTAAACATATGTCACGAGCACGAATTAAGTTTCAATTAATTCTTTTGTGAGCGTTACGCGTTGCAGGCGCTGTGGTCGTCGTTTCACCGAATGGCGAGGCGATGGTTTCCATTTCTTCGCCGCAAGGTACGACATTAAACTTGCCAGGGCAAGAATCAACACAAGAAATCAAAGATGAAACACAAAGAAGCAAAGAGAAAATGTAAAAATGTGGAAATCTAAAAGAATTAAACGAAGACTGTTTCTAACAGGTGGCCAAATCAAAGCGCACACACAGATGCGAATATCGTTGGTTGCTTAGCTGCAGGCGTCGTCGGATGAGCTTAGGTTAAACAGCAGAAATCGACAGTGTTGCTTGCGAATCGAAACGAGCCCCACGTGCGCGCATTTGTTTCGTTCGGAAAACGCGTGCGTGCTCGCTGGGTGTATATTGTGTGCTGGCGACGTTTGATTTATGTAATATGCAACGCAGCGAACGGAACCGTAATTCTAGTAGCGCGCGGGGCAGCGCTGCACATTCGGAAATGTGTGCGATCGTTCGCTTGCACACTCGCCCAGCAAAAGGTGATCATTGAACTGGTGAGTCATATGATGGTGATTGAATGGCCTGATGGATATCTGCCATTAACGGTGACAGTTTTAAGACCGACAGTTCCCTTCGCAGACACCCACACATTTACACGCACGTATAATACACACAGAGGCGAGCCCGGAACATGTGCATGACGGAAAATAAACGTTGTAAGTTAGTCCTTGGAAGTGTCTGACGGAACAGTACGTATGCATCAGCGGGCATCATCACCAACACCTACAGAGCTTTTTGAACAACCGAACAACTGTCAAATCATTCGTCTTATTAATACCGCAGGCGACATACTACTGCTGCTCGCAGAGTACAGTAGGAAAACATTTGTCACCATTGCTACGCTGCGTTTGTATCAATCGACAACGTTTTTTGATGTTTAATTAATTATTTTAGGCAAGGCACTTTACAACTTGTGCTTTGATGACTATTGAATGACTGAGTGCATGTTGTGAATGCTCTGGGAAATGTAAAATAAAATAAATGTATTTATGCCGTGTGGGTTTTCGCGTGGGTATCACACATAACACACACACAGCCGAAAAACGGCAGAAAATTGAGCACTTTATTAAACGGTTTTGTCTTTGGCATGTCTCTCATGTCTCGCGCCCGTCTCGTTGCGCGGCGACCGACGAGCGCGAGACGAACAAGCAGAGAGTTGATATGAACGTCGGTCGTCCTGCGCTTGCTGGCGCTCGACGCTTGCCGGCGACGTCCGTTTTATCATCGGACGTTTTGAGTTTTTCGTGGAGTTGACATGGGACTTGACACGAAATGCCGAGCGCCCGGTAATAATGTTCGCTGACAGTCGTCATTCGCCCAACTTCATAATAGAGAAAAGTTTTGTTTTAGCCGCCTGCCACTGCAGAAGAGCGTGAGAGCGCCCAGCGCGCTGCGGGGGTGGCAGCGCGGGCGGCGCGCGCGGACCGACGGGGCTGGCGCGGTTTTGATGTTAGCGTCAGCGGCGGAGCGGTCCACAATGACAGGCAGTCGCAATCGTGTCTTGTCGCACTGGCACAGACAATGAATCCGAGGCTCCTCTCATTGCGAAACTTTCAGTTACAGTTTGTTTTTGATCAGGACTCGTCAATTGTTGTGTGTGACCCGTGCCAGCGAGCGCAATACTTTGTCGGCCATCGGCACGAACGCACATGCGATAAATGAGAACAGCATGTATGTGTGTGGGCATGAGAAACGCTTTTATCATTCATTCATTTTCCATTTTCACCCTCACACTGTCAAGTCCCTCGCTCTATGATGCGTACGTTGGTTGTTTTCGTCGTTTTCTTTTGTCTTCCAAATTCTGTTCCTGTTACGAGTTATCTATCTGCATTGATAAACATAAACAACGTCGCAATGTTGCTCTGACCGGTTGTTTTTTTTAATTAACAGAGATGTGAGT